CGGGAGGCCACACCATGAGCAGCGGTGGGCAGCTCTCCAAGGTGGTGAGATAGGGGCAGACGGAGCCAGCAGGGCGGGAGGCTCAATGGGAGGCTGGGACATCTCTAGACTAGAGCCTCCGGGAGCCCAAAGACCAAAAAGCAAAACCTGGGACTGTAGTGACAGGACGCCCCGCGGCAGGGGCCTCGGGCTCCAGCGCCTCGGGGTGTCTCTTACAAACAGGGAGACAAAGAGGCACTGTGGCCCCCGGGGGCGGCTGCCCCACCCGGAGAGCGTCCGTGCTGGTCCCCACCGGTCACCAGGGTGCTGGGCAGCCCTGGCCGGCAGGGATGGTCGCTGCGGGCCCCCCCGGGGCGGTGTCAGACACCCCCAGTGTGAGGAGCTCCTGGCAGTTGTTGGGCGACGCCGGCGACGAGCAGCTCTTGGAGACCCAGGCCCGGGCCTCGGGGTCCCTTCAGGCCGCGGGGAGACGGGACGGAGGCCCCGTCCCTGCAGAGACTCGGCTTCTCTCCCCCGCGGACGGCGGCCGCCGGACGCTGCTCTTCCTCGTGCTTCCGAGGCCAGGAACCGAGTCGTCCCTTCCCCCCTCCTTCCAAGGCCCCACCCTTCCCCCTTCAGGGGTGCCGGCGGCGACCCCCCGCCCCGGCGCGGCCGGCCCTGGCCCGTGTGGGCTCACGTCTGATTGGACCATTTTTTAATCCTGTGGCTGATTGGACCATTTTGTACCAGTCAGCTCAGATCTCGCACCTGATTGGTCCTTTCCTGACCCAGGACGCGCCCGTTACCTGCAAGGGCTCCGAGGAGCCGCGGCCGCCCGGACCCGCCGCGGAGCCGAGAGAGCGGCCCCCGCCGGCCCCCGCCGGCCCCCCGCACCCCGCCGCCCCCCGCCGCCCCCCCCCGCCGCCCCGCCGCCCCCGCCGGCCCCCGCCGGCCCCCCGCACCCCGCCGCCCCCGCCGGCCCCCGCCGGCCCCCGCCGCCCCCCGCCGCCCCCGCCGCCCGCCGCCCCCCGCACCCCGCCGCCCCCCGCCGGCCCCCCGCACCCCGCCGCCCCCCGCCGCCCCCGCCGCCCCCGCCGCCCCCGCCGGCCCCCCCGCCGCCCCCGCCGGCCCCCCGCCGCCCCCCGCCGCCCCCGCCGCCCCCGCCGGCCCCCCGCACCCCGCCGCCCCCCGCCGGCCCCCCGCCCCCCGCCGTGGCCGCCGCGGGCGCCGGCTCCCCGTGTGTGGGCTGCGCCGCGCGGAGACCCCGGGGCCGTGTCCTCTGCCCCGTGGGCAGCCGGGCCCAGGCGGCCGCGGGGTGTCGCTCTCCGGCCTCGGGGCGCGCGCCTCGGGCCGCCTCCCGGCCTCGGCCCCGTCGCCCCTGTCGGCCCCAGACCAAGGGTGGCGGACGGTGACGGGGCCGGCGCTGGCCCCGCGCCCCGTCAGACCCGAGGGCGGCTCCCGGGTCCCGGGCTCCCCCGCGGCGCCGGCGCTTGGGGAGGCTCCGGGCCAGGCCCGGGGCCTGGACACCTGCAGGGGCCGAGCCCTCCCGGGCGCCCGCTGGGTCAACTGGCGCCTGCTCGGCCTCTCTCTTCGACCCCTCAGGCTGCCCACCCGACGGGCGTTTCCAATCCTCGCGCGTTGAGCGGAGCCCCTGAGCACCGGCCAGCTCACCGCCTGGTCTCCTCCGAGGAGTCAGCCCGCCCAGAGGAGGGCGACGGCCGGCCCCTGCGCGCCCCGCCCCGTCCAGGCGTCCCCCGCCAAGGGGAGAGCCCCAGTGCTGCCCCCGGCTCTGTCCTGAGGCCCAGCAGGCTCATGCGCTGGTGCACCCCAAAGAGCCACGGCCGGAGCGGGCTCAGTGGGGCCGGAGGCGACGGCACCTGGTGCCCCTCCAGCGGGACCCAGGGGATGGCGCGGCGCCCACGGTCTCTGCCTGCAGCGCCGGGAGCGGCAGGCTGGCCTCTGCCCCTGCAGAGCTGCCCGCGCTGGCGGCACCGGCCAAGGGCCACCCACCTCTTCTGCAGCTTCTGGGGGGTTTTCCTACATTTTGAAAGGCCGGGTCTATTGTCGGGGAGGGACACCGGCGTCACCACCGGCGGGCAGGAGCGCGGCCACGCCTGCTGGCCTCAGAGGGACCCGCGCCCTTGGCCCTCAGGCTGTGCTCCTGCGCGTGGCCGGCGGGACGGGACGGAGGCCTGCTAGAGCCCCGGGGCTCTGGCCTCCCCGGACGGCTTGTGACAGGCGGGCTCAAGGCAAGGGGAGGTTCCAGGTCCCCTGCTCCAGCCAAGGGAGGGTGGAGCTGAGCCGGGAGGAGGGAGGCGGGCGAGGAGCCGGGGGAGGAGGCAGGGGATGGGGCGCGGGAGCCTGGAGGGGGACACCCCGCTCGGGCCGTGGAGAAGCCGCGCCGGCTCCTTGGTCCCGGCCGGCCCGGGCAGACGCGGGCGAGGCCCGTGGGGAGGGGCCCGGGCAGCTTCTGTCTTGATGTGGATGTTGCTCTTTGCCTCCCAGACTTGTCCGTCTGCCCCGCTCCCGAGGGCGCCCGCAGCAGGGGCCGTGGGCCGGGGCAGCTCCCGGGGCCGCCCCGTCTGGTGGACACGGACCCACGACGGGACAGGTGACGTCACGCGCCCGGCGCGGACTCCAGCGGCCTCTGTCCCGCCCGCTAGCGCGGCCGGCGCGCCTTTCCTTGACCGTCTGTCTGGCCTCGACGCCGCCGCGGCACTTGCTCTCTGGAGCCGGTGGCCTTGGGGGTCGGGGGCGCCCCTTTCCCTGTCCCGCAGCAGGTCGAAGGACCCTCCAGACTCAGGCCTGAGCGGCCAAACTCACGCCCCGGGCCGCGGTCCCCAGCGGCGCCTGAGGAGCACCGTGACCCCACCCAGCTGCCCGTGCAGAGGCGCCCCTCGGCCGGCCCCGGGGCTGCTCTCTGCGCGTTGCGGGTCCTGCACCCAGGCGAGCTGGGCGGCCCCGGCGGGCCTGAGGAGCGTCCCGCAGCGGGGTCCGGCACGGCTCACCACCCTCCCCCGTTCAGGCCTCCTGACGGTGGCCGCCTCGCGCGCTAGGCAGCCGAGGCCCGACCAGCCGCTCGGCCCCCGAGCTCGGCGCGCAGGGACACCCGGGAGGCGGGGGTGTTGCCGGGAGCGCCCCAGCAGGAGGCCCAGGCAGGGGCCCCAGACCAGACGTCCGTCCTCTCAGCGACGGGCCGCGTGGAGCAGAAGCACCTGCCCGGGGCGGGGGGGGGGGGGGCGCGGCAGGGCTCCTCGGAGGAAGGTGCGGCCGAGCTCAGCAGAAGCCCCGGCGTCCACCTCCAGGCAGGTTCCCGGTCAGGCCGCGCGCTGGCCGCTGCTCAGCCCCCTCATGCAGCCCCAAGGTCAGCTTGCCCCGGCCCAGCCGGAGGCCAGAACCCCCTGGAGAAGGTGGGGCTGGCGGCTGTGGCTTTACCCACTTGACAGGCCCACGGGCCCCTCGGGGCTGGGGTCAGTGTCCGGTGTCACCACCGAGGCCTGAGTGCGACCCCGGCCAGGAGCTGACCCGCAGGGCACAGCTGACCCCGCCTGTCTCCCGCTGCCCCTCAGCAGTGTGTTTCAGGGGATACGCCTGTTCTGCTCCCCACTCTCTCTGGGGAGCCCCCTCACCCCCCGTCTCTGGCCTGCACCCCAGCCCTTCTAGCAAAAAAACACACTCCAAATTGGGGCAGGGAGAGCTGGCCTCAGGGAGCCGCACACTGGCCCTGGCGCTGAGCCGTCTCGGACTCAGGGTCCACCCTGCACAGAGGGGCTGCCCACGCCCCCTGCCTCCGCCTGTGGGGGCACCCGCACCCCGCACGCACGCCCGGCGCCTGGCTCACCGGGAGCCCCCACTTCCCGGCCGCAGTGCCCTCGGGGGCGAGTCACGGCTGCGGCAGACCGCCCGGCTGGCCTCGCTCTCAGGGTCACCTCTGCTCCAGGCCAAGGTCAGCTGGGCCCGGGGACACGCTGTTCGCCTCCTGCCCTCCCCAACGCCGCCCCGCGGGCGCTGCCCCCCCACCGCAGGTCAGAGGGGACACCCTGCCCATTCCTCTGCCAACCCCACGCGAGCAGGCAAAGCTAAGAGGTGGGGCCCACCCCTGCCCCCCACCCCTGCCCCCCACCCCCGCCCCCTACTCCCTCCCTCCACCCCCGCCTTCCCAAGAAGCACACAAGACCATGGTTCTGGTCTGAGAACGATGGGCAGATGGACATTTCGACACTGGGGCCTGGCTTGCGCCTGGCCAGCGCACACCAGGGTGGCAGAGCGAGGGCACAGAGGTAGGGAGTGGGCGGTGGGCCCTGGCCGGCCCAGGGCGCTACTGGGGAGGGGGTGCCGGGCCCAGGGCGTCCCAGTCCGTGGCTCCAGCCCAGCGCCCGCCACGCCTGGTGCTGGGTGTCCAGGGGGCGCGGTCAGCAGGGAGGGCGCGGTCTTCCGTCCAGGGCCCCGGCCCCCATCTCCAGAGTCTGGCAGTGCGCCGCGGTCAGGGGAGGCCTGGAACCCAGACGAAGGGACACTCAGCTGCGCCCGGCCCCACCCTGTGCCCTCAGGTCGGGGCCTCCCTCCCGCCAGCCCCGCGGCCCAGGGCCAGAGCCGGGGCCAGGGCCGCAGGGCAGAGGGCACTCACCCTGCACGTCTGTGGCCGGCCCGCCCGTGGCGCCACCTCCGCGGCGTCCGGCGTTCCTGCAAAGCTTGAGGGGGGCTGGAGCGACACTGGCCAGGGCGCGGCGGGCCGCTGGTCTGGGCGCAGAGCCCCGGGAGCGGGGCAGGGGCTGGCTCCTGCGCGGGTGATCCTAAGGCACAAAGCTAACCTAAGCCCAGGCGGAGGGGGCGGGACAGGCTCTGCGGGGCCCCCAGCGGCCAGCGGCGCTCAGGACGACGGGGCGGGCGAGGGCTGGGCTGGAGGCGGCTCTGTCCCCGGGCGGGGCCCCCGCGTCAGCCCGAAGCTGCAGTCCCGCGGCAGGGGCCGCCTGGGGGGCCGGCGGGGCGCAGGGGGGAGGCGCGGGGGCGAGCCCGGGCGGGGGGCGGCCGGCGCTCAGGGCTGGCGGCGCGGGCCGGGGCGCCCGAAGGCGGGCTGCATGAGGTTCTCGGTGATGTAGGCCACCAGCAGGCAGATGACCACGAGCATGACGCAGATGGAGCCGCCCACCGCCGTCATGGCCACCACGATCTCGCGCATGCCGGCCGGCTCGGCGGCGAACTCCACGCACTCGGCGGGCGCGGCGGGCTCGGGCGCGGCGGGCGGCGGCAGCGGCTGCAGGCACAGGCGGTAGCGCACGCCGTCGTGCACGCCGGGCAGCAGGTAGTCGCGGCAGGCCGCGCCGAGCAGCACGCGCTCGCAGGGGAAGCGCGTGTAGGCGCCGCGCCACGAGCAGTTGAGCGCAAAGGCGCGCACGCGGCGCGCCTCGGCCGGCGCCAGGCGCCACTGCAGCAGGACGCTGCGGTTGCGGAGGACGCTGGCGCGCAGCGAGCGGCCGGCCGAGGCGTGCGCCGCGCAGCCGGGCGCCTGGCAGCGGAAGCCGCGCGCGGGGCTGCGGAAGCACAGGCGCGCGCCGCCCGGCTCGGGGCCCTCGGGCAGCACCTTGTAGGGGCACCAGGGCGCGTCGGCCGCCGGCTCCCAGCCCGCCGGCGTCGGGGCGGCCGCGGCGCGGGGCGGCGGCGCGCAGGCGGCCAGCAGCAGCAGCAGCGGCGGGGCGCGCATCCTGCGGCTGGGCCGGCGCGGCGGGCGCGGGCTCGCGGGCGCGGGCGCTGGGTCACGCGGGCCGCCGCCGCCGCGCCCCGCGCCGGCCCCGCGCGCCGCGCCCTCCCCGCGCCCGCTCCGACCCGCCCCCGCGCCCCGCGCCCCGCCCCCCTTAACCCTCGCCGGGCCGGCGCCGGCGCCCCGCGCCCCGCCGCTCGCCGGGGGCGCCCCTCGGGCCCCGGCCCGCCCCGGCGCTCCGCCGCGGCTTCCCCGCCGCCGCCCGCGCGCTGCTCCCCGCCGAGGCGCCCCGGGAACGCGCGGGGCGCGCGGGCCGCCCCCCTTGGCCGGGCGCGGCAGGCGAGGGGGGGAGTTTTCTGGGCCGTCCCGCTGACCGGGGCCCAGCGGCTTAGGCTGAGCTCCAGGGACGGGGGCTCCCCCTCCGCCCGCCTCCCCCATCTGGCCCTGGGTCGGCCCGGTCCCCGCAGGACGGGGGTCCGCACTGGACAAGCGGACAGCGCCCGGCAAGCCCGCCTGGCGGACAGCACTTCGGGGAGGGGCGCACCCACCACTTCTGCCCCCCAGACCCTGGCCGCCAGCAACGCCCCGTCAGCGGCCCAGCCACCTGGCTCAGGACAGCCTCCGCAGCCCCCTGGCCAGGCCAACGCCCAGAACCCGGGGCGCCGGAGCGCCGTGAGGTGGCGGGAAGCGCCGCGCGCGGAGACACGCCGGAGGGCCCCATGCCTTGCCGGGCCCGGGCTCCCCACCTGGAGGGGCGAGAGCAGGGGCCAGCGGGCCTGCCCGCTGCTCCGTCCCCGGCTTGGACACCGTGACCCAAGCGGAGCAGCCCGGCGTCATGACGCTGGCCACCCCCATGTTCCCGGCCAGCCCAACGTGACCAGTCGCGCGCCCAGCTCCGCGCAGAGGCGGCCAGCTCCCGGCCGGGTGGGCGCCGGCGAGTGGCACCCCGGTCCTCCCCGGGCCACCCGGGCCCTGCTGAGCCACCCGTGTCCAACCCGTCCACTCCTGACCAGACTTGAGGGCTCCGGCTGTCGGGCAGCACGAGGCATCCTCGCTTGTGCTTGCTTTTGTCGTTGGTGCCCTGGGCCCACCGTCCGCCTTGTCCTGTGGCTCTGTGGTGGCCCTGGCACAGTGCCTGCGCCCCGCCCCACCGCCCTCCTCAGCATGGCGCAGCTGCGCAGCCCCCCCCGCGCCATGCCGGCGTCCAGCTGCAGCAAGGTGGTCAGCCTGCACCGCGGCCTGAGTTTGTGGTATGTGAGACTGTGGCTTCACGCAGCGTCTCTCCACACAGTGTCTCCCTGCGCCACTCAAAGCTCTGAAAGCGGGACCCTGGAGGGGCTGCCCCCCAGTCCTCTGCTCTGGCCTGTGGTGGTTCTGCAGCCAGAACCCCAGGCGCCCACCACCGCTGGCCGCTGCAGCAGAGGTGGGAGCTGACTTGGGTGCTGCGCCCGAAGGCTGGGCCTGGGCGAGGAGGGCCACCCGGCGCCCCAGCCTCATACGCGCTGGCTCCTTCCAGGGGGTGCATGAGGGCAGGTGCTGGTGTCCCCACTGTGGCCCCCTGGACATGGCCTTGGGACAGCCGGGCTCCCTCTCCCAGATTCCGGCTGTGTGTGTGTGTGTGTGTGTCCCGCCCACCCGGCCCTGGCGGTCCAGCTGGGCAGCAAGGCCCCCTTTCACGTGGAGCCCCTCCCTTGCTTATCACCGCAGTCAGCACGGATTTGTCCTACGTGAGGCCTATGGCCCGGATCCGCCTTCGCTGGCAGTAGGTTCTCCCGTGCCCAGGGCCTGGCTGGGGCCCCTGCTGGGCCTGTCGGGTCTGAGTGGGCTGCTCCCTTGACATGGGGCCTCCACCCCTTCATCTGCCAGAGACTTGCCTTTCTGGTGTGAATTATAACCACCTTTTCTCTCTAATGTAAAATGAAACTTTATTGACAGGTCATTTTATTTTACTATTTTTTAAAAAAGATTCATGTATTTATTTATACAAGCACCGGGCACAGTCAGAAGCGCGGGAGGGTGAGAGGATTCCCCAGAGCCAGAGCGGGGAGCAGAGCAGGCAGAGGAACCGAAGGACACTGCTGAGGGGAGCAGCGGGCGGCAGGAGAGGTCTGCGCGCCATGCGGGACCCTCCTCCGGTGGCCGGGGAGCAGCCGGGGATCGAACCGGCGCCGCAGAGGCCGCGGGCAGCTTCGCAGCCCAGCGCTCAACCGCTGCGCCACCGGGGAGGCCCAATAAATAAATCTCTTTAAAAAAACCCGAATTTCAAAGAAGTCCGAAAATGACTCGTTGCTACCCCCCTGGCGAGGGCGCCCCCTGCTGTCCACGAAGTAACAGGGCCGCGCTCTCGGGAGCAGCACCGCGCCCGGCAAAGGTCCCCGCGGCCCGACCCGCTCCCCGCCGCAGGGCGCCCGTCTCCCCCGCGGGGCTGGCCGTCGGGAAGGGCACCAGCGGCCGCGCGCCCCTCAGGGTGGCCGTGGGGGGTGCCGGGCTCTGCGCCTTGGAAGTAGCGGGTGCCGGGGAGCCCCTCCTGTGGCCGGGGCCCCCCCACCAAGAGCGGCGTCTCCCCGTGTCCTGTCTCGCGGGACGGCTCCGCGCTCTTGCTGCTTCCAGCTGCGCGTGGGCGTGTCAGCCACAGGCGGCCCCGCTCGTCGTCGCTTACTCGCGGGGGTGCAGGCGCCGGGGCGCCCCCCGCCGCCTCCGCCGGCCTCTTGCTCAGTAGCCCTGGGTCCCCCAGGGCACCGTCCACATGACGTCCCTGAGCCCTTGCTGGGCGCCTGGGGCGTGCGGCCGCCACCCCGAGGCCTTCAGAACACGTGGTCGCCCGGCGGTGCCCCCCCCCCAGGGCCCCGGTGGGGGTGAGCCCGGAGGGCCCCGCTGAGCCCCGACGCCCCGGCCGGCGGACGGTGGGCGGGCGCGCGGCGGCCCCTGCGTCCCCGCCGCTGGCCCTGGGGGCGGCCGCGGGTGTGGGGCGGCGGCGCCCCCGGGCCCAGCCCCCCTGGCCGCGGCCCTGCGTTCGCGTTCGCCGCGCTGGAGCCGGACCGGGCCGCGGGCGCCCGGCCGGGCCAGCCTGACCCTCCGCCGGCGACGGGGCGCGCGGCCCAGGCGCGGAGTCCACGGGCCCCGGCGGCCGCGCCGCGCCGCGCACCCGCGTGGGCGCGTCCCGGGCCCGCCGAGGAGGGACGCGCGGGGAGGCCTCAGACCGCGCGGCCCGGACGCCGCCCCCCCGCGCCAGCCCCCGCGGCCCGACGCCGCCCCCGTCTCCGGGGCAACGGGACGCGTCCGCGCGCCTGCAGGCCCGCCCCCCCGCCCTGACGGAGCGGGTCACGCGCGAGGCGGCGGCGGCCCCGAACCGCAAGAGCCCGCCCCTCGCCGTGCGCACGCCGCGCGGCCTCCTGGGAATTGTGGTTCAGACCCGCCCCCCGTTGCCGGCCTCGGCGGGCGGCGAACTACGACTCCCGGCCGGCGGCGCGGCGGCCCTGGAGCCCCAGCGCGGGGGGCTCCGAACAGCCGCAGCTCGGCCGGGCCTCGCGCGCAGCGACTGGCCGGCGGGCGCGGCGGACAGCGAGGGGCCGCGGGCCGCCGCCGCTCTCGGCGCTGTGCCCGGGCCGGGCCCGCCAACTTCCCGGCAAGTGCAGGGTCGGCGGGCCGCGGAGGCGGGCGGCGCGGCGGGATCGGGGCGCGCGGGGAGCCCGACCCCGGGCCGCGGGGCTGCCGCCTGGGCCGGGGCCTCCTGCGCTCGGGGCCGCGGCGCTCGGGACCGCGGGGCTGCAGCCTGGGCCCGGCCGCGCGCGAGGGCAGGCGGGCTCTGCGGGGTGGCGGGGCCGGGGCCGCCGCGCTCGCCCCGTGGGTGCTGCCGCGCCACGTCAGAGGCCGGCGGGCGCCCCCCCCCGCTCCGGGCCAGGACCCGCCAGCGCGAGCGCGTCCACCCCGCGCCGGCCTGTTGCTCCAGACGCAACAAGTATCTGATGTCCCCGGCCGGGGCCAGCCCGGGCCGCGCGGGGAGGTGGTCCCCGCCCCGGGGTGCGCGGGTGTCTGGGTCTCGCGCGCACCCTACCCCCAGGGCCTGCCCCCCCCCCCCCACGGTGTCTGCCCGGAGCTTAGCCAGAGCCGGCCCGGCCGGTGGCCCGTGACCCCTGACACTGCCCGCTGTGCCCACAGTGTGGCCCCGGGCCGGCTGCCCTGCTGGGCCTCCCTGCCAGCTGTCAAGTTTCTTGTGAGAGTCGCGGGTGGGGACAAGGCCCCTGCGGAGCGGGACAGAGGCCGGCAGGCGCGCTGGGCGCTGGCCGGGACGCTGAGCGCTGAAGGCGGGAAGCTGCATCCAACCCCTTCCCCAGTCTGGCCCCCGCGGCCCGCAGGGCAGGCAATGGCGCCGCGGTTCCAGCCCGGAGTCTGGGGCTGAGCGCGCGGGTGTGGGGAACAGCGGCTGTGCGTGGGCCTCGCTGAGGTGAGTGCACCCCGCACCTCGCTGTGGCCTGACCCCGAGCCCCCTGCCTGCTGAGGGTCCTGGGGGCGGAGGGAGGCCTGACCCGGAGCCCCTGGCGCTGGCCCCAGGCCGAGGGTCAGGCCAGACCGGGAGGGGGCAGAGATGGAAGGTCCCGGCTGAACGCGGGGCGCGGGCAGGCCGAGCCAGGGCCCCCACGTGCTGCCAGGAGGGCCAAGAGCATTGAGGGGGGCTGCGGGCCAGACCCCCTGTTCTCCGCGTCCCCTGGGGTGCTGCTCCACTGCGCTAGGCGAAGACAGGTGAGGCCTCAGCCGAGGGGCCCACCCGCAGCGTGCCTGTGGCCAGAGGGTTCCCATGGGGACAGCCTGGGGTGGCTCCGCGGCCGCCTGGGGAACGTGGCGGCGCTAAAAATAGTGGCTGTGAAGGCGGCGCGTGGTCAGAGACGCCTCCCGGCAGAGCGACTGCCCTGCGACCGGCCCGCTGCTCCAGGAGCCGCCTGGACCCGGCGGGGCTGACGCCTGCCCCTGGCCTCGGGTCGGGGTGCGCGGGCCGGGGGGCGGTGCTGGGGCTCGTGGCCCGCGCCCAGGCAGAGGGCATTCCGCCGCTCCCCGGGGGCCCCTTCCCGCCCGAGCCCTCGCCTCCCTCGGCGGGGCCGGGGGGCTGCTCCGTCTGGGGGGCCGGCATGGGGCTGAGTGCTGGTGCCGCGGCCTGAGGGCCGGCTGGAAGGGTGATGGGTGCGGGGCTCACCCCTCCCGCCGCAGCGACCTGCTCGTGCGCCCCCGGCGCGGGCGAGGGCCCGGCCGGTCTGGCTGAGCTGGGTGCAGGCCCCGGCCCTGCGGCAGCCGCTTGCCGCGGGACCGTGCACGGGGCTGAGGTGCTGGCGACCCACCCCGCCCTCACCAGTCTGTGGCAGAATGGGCCCCTGGGGGCGCAGCTGCGGCGGGGAGCCCGTCTCCTCGGGGCCCGAGAGCACAGAGCTGGGCAGCCGAGTGACGACGGTGGAGGCCGTGGCCTGGTCCTCAGACGACGTGGACCGAGAGCCCGGCCCCTCCCCGCCTGGCTGGAGGCGGAGCTTCCCAGCAGGGTGACCGCTGCGCTGGCGCCCCTGCTGCAGCCGGAGTGGGGCAGAGCCTGGCCGTGACCCTCTGCCCGCCCGCAGGCTGAGCCGGTTGGGCCCGGGGGTGCTGAGCCCAGCTGGGGGTGTGGGGGGGGTTTCCCTCCGCGTCCTCCTGGCCCTGGGCCGGACCCACGGGGTGGCAGGTCACAGCCCCTTGGCAGCAACCCCTGTCTGCTCAGTACCCCGCCTCCCTGTCACCCTGCTTCTGGCAGCGCTGAGGGTGCCTGGATGTGGTCCTGCCACATGGGGGCACAGCCAGGCTGAGGGGAGGCCCCCGCTTCCCCCCGTCTTCAGACGCAGCTGTTGCAACGTCTTGGCTGGCCGTGGGGTCCTAGGCGGCTGCCCGCCGCTGCCGGCCTCCTGATGGGGCTGGGCTATGCCGCTCCTGTCCTGGCTCCCTAAGATGGGAATTGGGGAGCGGATCAGCTCCACCAGTCCCCCCAGGACGCTGCTGTGGACCCCTGTGGGGGCCAGGGCTGACCTGTGGCTGTGTCTCTTCAGGGCTGTGGATCGGGCCTCACCTGGCCAGCAGGCCGGGGTCCACGGAGAGGGGGGCTGTCCCCGCAGTCCGCGCCCCGGGGCTCGCGCGTGGGGTTGGTGTCCCGGGTGGGCGCGGCTCTTTTCCCGCCTCCCTGCCACGCCCAACCGTCTTCGGAGCATCCCACGCTGATGACTCCCGGCGGGCGACCCGGATACCCCAGCAGGGGAGCCTCCCCGCGGGCTGGTGCCCCGGTTTGGGGGCCCCGTGACGCGCGCGCGCCTCCCCCGCAGGTCCGCACGCCCAGCATGGACCCGGACCCGCAGGCGGGCGTGCAGGTGGGCATGCGCGTGGTGCGCGGCGTGGACTGGAAGTGGGCCAGCAGGACGGCGGCGAGGGCGGCGTGGGCACGGTGGTGGAGCTCGGCCGCCACGGCAGCCCCTCGACGCCGGACCGCACGGTGGTCGTGCAGTGGGACCACGGCACCCGCACCAACTACCACGCGCGGGCTACCAGGGCGCGCACGACCTGCTGCTCTTCGACAACGCCCGGCGGCGGTGCGCGCGGGGGGGCGGGGGGCGCGCCCGGGCCGCGTGGAGGGCGCCCGCTGAGCCCCGCCCCGCCGCCCCCCGCAGGCGTCCGCCACCCCAACATCATCTGCGACTGCTGCAAGAAGCACGGGCTGCGGGGCATGCGCTGGAAGTGCCGCGTCTGCTTCGACTTCGACCTCTGCTCGCAGTGCTACATGCAGGACCGGCACGACCTGGGCCACGCCTTCGAGCGCTACGAGACGGCCCACTCGCGCCCGTGAGCCCGCCCGCCCCGGGGAGTCTCCCGGGCCCTGCCCGCGGGCGCCCAGAAGCCCCGAGCGGCTCAGCGCCCCGACCCTCGACCCCCACGCCTGGGGGCCGCCGCGCTGGGTCCTGGTCGGCCTCGCGCCCCCGACATGCACCTCCAGTGCCCAGCAGAGGGGGGCGCGCCCCGGGCCGGCTCCCCACTGGCCGGAGGAGAGCAGGGCCACAGCGGCTGGGGTGCCTGGGGCCAAGCCCGCCCCTTCACTGCACTTCCCGTGGGGGGAGCCCTCGCCGCTGCCGGCCTGGCAGGGCCTGGGCTGAGCGAGTGTGGGGCGCCACGCAGGGCCGAGGGGGGCTGCGGACACCGGGGTGCTGGCTCCACCGCGCCTCGGCCCAGACCTGCCTGTTTTGCAGGGTGGCACTGAGTCCCCGCCAGGGCCTCCCGCGGATCCCGCTGAGGGGCATCTTCCAGGGGGCAAAGGTGGTGCGAGGCCCCGACTGGGAGTGGGGCTCGCAGGACGGTGAGTGGGGCGGCCTGGGGGTGGGGCCGCGGGCGGGCGCCCTGGCTCAGCGGCTGTGGGGTCCTCTCAGGAGGGGAAGGCAAGCCGGGCCGCGTGGTGGACATCCGCGGCTGGGACGTGGAGACCGGCCGGAGCGTGGCCAGCGTGACCTGGGCGGACGGCACCACCAACGTGTACCGCGTGGGCCACAAGGGCAAGGTGGACCTCAAGTGTGTGGGCGAGGCGGCCGGCGGCTTCTATTACAAGGACACCTCCCAGGCTCGGTAAGGGCTGGCCGGGGCCTGGGAGGGGGGCAGCAGGCACCGCCTGAGCCCGGCCTCTGCCCCGGCAAGCCGGCCGAGCTGCAGCGCAGGGTGAGCGCCGACGGCCAGCCCTTCCCGCGCGGGGACAAGGCCAAGTGTCCGCCGGACACAGATGCCCGCAGGGAGACACAGGAAGGCCACGGCGGGCGGACCCCCAGGGCGGCGGAGGTGAGCCGCTGCCCCTCCCCGCCCACCTGCCCCCCAGCCGCCGCCGCCTCCGGAGGCCAGTGTGCTGGGCAGGGGCCGACCTCCCACCCTGGGGCTCTCACCGAGGTGCCTGGGGGCCCAGCCCCCCCTGCTCCGCACCTGCTCCCCGGGCAGGACCTGTTCCGGCCTGGAAGGGAAAGGGCCTGGTGCGGGGCTGGGTCTCCAAGGGAGGGGGTCCAGGCCTCAAGGAGCCCAGAGGGGGCTGGGCACCTGGGGTGGGCAGCTCCTGCCTGGGCTGGGGAGGCCCCGCAAGGGAGCAGGCACAGCCCAGGTGCCTCGTGGGGGCAGGGTCGGGAGGCCCGGGCTGGCGAAGGCTCCCGAGGGGCAGGGAAGGCCCTGGCAGTCCTGGCTGACCCCTCCTGCCTACTGTCCCCACCTGCCTGCGCTCCCCAGCCCAGTCCCGGGGTGGGCGGGGCCTGCCCGGCCGCCGCCTCGCCTCTGGGGGGTTCGGGGAGGACCCCCGGCCGCCCTCACGCGCCTCTCTCAGCCCCCGCTCCTTCCGAGTGGGCGACGTGGTGCGGGTGATCGACGGCCTGGACACGGTGAAGCGGCTGCAGGCGGGGCACGGCGAGTGGACGGACGACATGGCCCCGGTGAGCCCCGGCGCCCTGCGCCCCCCGCCGCGCACAGGCCGCGCCTGACGCCCTCGCCCGACGCCCTCGCCCGCAGGCCCTGGGCCGCGTGGGAAGGTGGCGAAGGTGTTCGGAGACGGGAACCTGCGCGTGTGCGGTCGGCGGCCAGCTGTGGACCTTCAGCCCCTCCTGCCTGGTGGCCTACCGGCCCGAGGAGGACGCCAACCTGGACGTGGCCGAGCGCGCCAGGGAGAACAAAAGTACGGCGCGCGGCTGCGGGGCGGGGGGCCGCCCGGGCCACGTCTCACCCAGACCCCCCAGGCTCGCTGAGCGTCGCCCTGGACAAGCTGCGAGCCCAGAAGTCCGACCCGGAGCCCCCCGGCGGCTGGTGGTGGAGGCGGCGCTGGGCAACACGGCCCGGGCGCTGGACCTGCTGCGCAGCCGCCCGGAGCAGGCGAGACGCCCCCCCCCCCGCCCCCCGCCCCGCCGCCGCCCGCGCCGCCCCCGGGGAGGCGCAGAGGGCGGGGCTGACCCGGCGCTCCCGCTCCCGGCAGGTGGACGCCAGGAACCAGGGCCGCACGGCGCTGCAGGTGGCGGCCTACCTGGGCCAGGTGGAGCTGGCGCGGCTGCTGCTGCAGGCGCGCGCGGGCGTGGACCTGCCGGACGAGGAGGGCAACACGGCCCTGCACTACGCGGCCCTGGGGTGAGGCCGGGGGCGGGCAGCGCGGGGGCGGCCCGAGCGCCCGCGGGCGCAGCGCCCCTGCCACGTGCTCTCCCCCAGGAACCAGCCCGAGGCGCGCGGGTGCTGCTGCTGCGGGCCGGGTGCCGGGCCGACGCCCTCAACGGCGGCCGCAGCTCGGCGCTGCACGTGGCGGTGCAGAGGGGCTTCCTGGAGGTGGTGCGCGTCCTGTGCGAGGGCGGCTGCGACGTCAACCTGCCCGTGAGTCCGGGCCCTGCCTGTCCGGGGCGGCGGCTCCGCGCGGCGCCCCGCCGCCGCCGCGCCCGGTGACCGCCGCCCCCCGCAGGACGCGCACGCGGACACGCCCCTGCACTGCGCCATCTCCGCGGGCCCCGGCGCCGGCCGCATCGTGGAGGTCCTCACCGAGGCGCCCGGCGTGGACGTCGCGGCCACCAACCGCCAGGGCTTCACCCTGCTGCACCACGCGTCCCTCAAGGGCCACGCACTGTGAGTGGGGGCGGCCGCCGGCCCGGGGGCCGCGGGCCGCGACCCACCCTCCTGCCCCCACAGAGCCGTCCGGAGGATCCTCGCGCGCGCGCGGCAGCTGGCGGACGCCCAGAAGGAGGACGGCTTCACGGCGCTGCACCTGGCGGCCCTCAACAACCACCAGGAGGTGGCCCAGATCCTCATCGGGGAGGTGGCGACCGGGGCGCGCGCGCGCGCGGGGCGGGGGGCGGGCCGGGGCGGGGGCGTCGCTGAGGCTGTCCCCCCCAGGGCCGCTGCGACGTGAACGCCAGGAACCGCAAGCTGCAGACGCCGCTGCACCTGGCCGTGCTGCAGGCCCACGTGGGGCTGGTGCCGCTGCTGGTGGACGCGGGCTGCAGCGTCAACGCGGAGGACGAGGAGGGGGACACGGCCCTGCACGTGGCGCTGCGGCATCACCAGCGGCTGCCCCTGGTGGCTGAGGGGGCCGGGGGGGACCCGGGGCCCGTGCAGCTGCTGTCCAGGGTGAGGACGCGCGCGGCTGAGTCGGGTCCTTCTCTGCCTCTGCTGACGGCCAGGCGGCCAGCACTCGCGGGGGCGCGGCGGCCCCGGCCCGGTCACCGCGGCGGGGTCAGCGCCCGGATTCTGCTCCTGGCCGCCGGGGAGGGAAGGGCGCGGGGTGCAGGCGGCCGGCTCACGCGCCTGCCCCCCAGCTGCAGGCCGCGGGCCTCCCGGCGGCGCGGAGCTGACCGTGGGCGCGGCGGTCGCCTGCTTCCTCGCGCTGGAGGGCGCCGACGTGGGCTGCACCAGCCACCGCGGGCGGAGTCCGCTGGACCTGGCCGCCGAGGGCCGCGCGCTCAAGGCCCTGCAGGGCTGCGCCCAGCGCTTCCGGTGAGCCCCGGGGGGCGGGGCGGGCGGGCGGGCGGGCGCGCCCCCCGCGCGGCGCGGCCCGTCACGACAGCCCCTCCTCGCCGCAGGGAGCGGCAGGGCGCGGCCCCCGCCCCCGGCTAGCGCGCGGCGCGCCCCCCGCCGAGACGACCCTGCGCGAGGCGGCGGCGTCGGGCCCGGAGGCGGCCGAGTGCCTGGTGTGCTCGGAGCCGGCGCCGCTGGTGCTCTTCGCGCCCTGCCAGCACCGCACGGTGTGCGAGGGTGAGTGCGCGGGCGGGGGGCCGGGGGCGGGGGCGCGGCCGCGCCCAACGCGCCCTCCCCCGCAGAGTGCGCGCGCCGGATGAAGAAGTGCCTCAGGTGCCAGGCGGCCATCGGCAAGAAGCTGCGCCCAGGTGGGTCGGGGCGGGGCGGCCCGGCCGCGCCCCCGCCCCCCGCCCGCGCTCACCCGCGCCCCCCGCCCCCGCAGACGGCTCGGAGCTGAGCCCCGCGGCGCCCGCGCCCGGCCCGCCGCGCCAGCTGGTGGAGGAGCTGCAGAGCCGCTACCGGCAGATGGAGGAGCGCATCACCTGCCCGATCTGCATCGACAGCCACATCCGCCTCGTGTTCCAGTGCGGCCACGGCGCGTGCGCGCCCTGCGGCGCCGCGCTCAGCGCCTGCCCCATCTGCCGCCAGCCCGTGCGCGACCGCATCCCGATCTTCGTGTGAGCCGCGCCCGGCGCCCGGCGCGCGCGTTCCATAAAGGCCTTCTCGGACCTTGCGCCTGGTGCCTGCCTCGGACGCGCGCTCCCCCGCGGCGCCCCCTCCCTCCCCGCCGCTCCCGGGGGTCCGGCGCGGGGCCTTTTGGGGGCGGGCGGCGGCGGGCCGGGGGCGGGGCCGGGGCGGCGACACGGCCCGCGGGGAGCGCCGGGCCCCCGGCGGGGAGGGGGAGGGCCGCGGGTTGCAGCGCGCGCTCAGCGGGAAGGGGGGCGCCGCCTCTGGCCGGGCGCAGGCCCGGGGCGACCCGAGACCCGAACTGCCCCGCCGTTGCCTCGCCCGCCCCGCCGCGCTGGCCGGTCCGGTCCGCCACGGCCACCCTGGGCGCCGGGCCGGGCGGGGAGTGGGGCGGGCCCGGCCCCCGCGCCGACGCCCGGCCCAGCACCGGGTTCCGCCGAGGCCGCAGCCCTCGGCCCCTCCACCGGCCGCCCCGTCGAGTCTGGGTCCTCAGCGCCCCCCATTCCAAACCTGCGCCGCGGCCACTTTTGGGGGGGCAGCTCCCCGCAGCCATCCCAGCCCTGGGCGCGGGGCCCCGCCTTCCGGCCCCTTCCCCGGCTGCTGCTCGCGCCTCTCCCCACATCCCGCCCTCCGCAGAGGCCCTGAGCGGCAGCGCCAGCCGGGGAGACGCGTCGGGGCCGGGCGTCTTGGGGGGGGCTGCACGCTAGGTCTCAGCCAGTGTCCAGCGTTGGGGGTACCCCATGGGGTGGGCAAGCCGCCGCTTCACTTTGGCGGCCCAGTGGCCACCCTGCCCGATGCCTGAGCTCCCGGCCTCGCCCCGGTCCTTGGTGCGGGTCCTCGCTCCGGGCTGACCAGCCCAGCTGGCCCTGCCACTCACCCCACCGGACCCGGCTCCCTGCGCCCCGGACCGGCGGCGCACGGGTGTTCCGGCACCGGCCAGCTGGTTCCCCTCAGGGGCGGCTGCGCGGCCCCCACTCCGCCCCGCTGTAACCCGAGCCTCCGGGCGGCCGCCTCCCCTCCTGGCGCCGAGGTCCGCGCCGCCCCAAGCGGCCTGCGCCCCGACAGCCAGTCCGCAGACGCCATGGGCCTCGGGGCCCGCGTCCCCCAAGTGTCGCCGGGGCCCCGCGAGCAGGCCCTGCGGCTCGCGGCGGCCCTGGGCGCCCTGTGCCTGCTGCTGCTGCTGCCGCGGCCGGGCCCGCCGCGGGGCCCGCGCAGCCCGGCGCCCCCCCGCGCGCTCGCCCCGGCCCCGGGCGCCGTCCCCGCCGGCGCCGCGCAAGGGAGACGTGGCCGCGCCGCGCCGCCGGCCGCGAGCGCCCCCGCCGCCGGGGCCCGGGCCCGGCCCCGGCGCGCCGCCGCCGCTACACGCTGACCCCCGCGCGGCTGCGCTGGGACCACTTCAACCTCACCTACAGGTGCGCGCGGCCCCGGGCGGGCGGGGGAGCCGCGGCCGCGCCCTGACGCCCCGCCCCGCAGGGTCCTCTCCTTCCCGCGGAACCTGCTCAGCCCCCGGGAGACGCGGCGCGGCCTGGCCGCCGCCTTCCGCATGTGGAGCGAGGTGTCCCCCTTCAGCTTCCGCGAGGTGGCCCCGGAGCAGCCCAGCGACCTCCGCATAGGTGGGCGCCGCCCCCGCCCGCGCCCCGCCCCCCCGCCCCCCCCCGCGCGCGCTCAGCCCCGCCCCCGCCCCCCGCCCCGCCCCGCGCCCCCCCCGCAGGCTTCTACGCGGCCAACCACACCGACTGCCTGGCGTCCGCGCGGCACCACTGCTTCGACGGGCCCACGGGCGAGCTGGCCCACGCCTTCTTCCCGCCGCACGGCGGCATCCACTTCGACGACAGCGAGCACTGGGTGCTGGGCCCCACGCGCTACAGCTGGACGAAGGGTGCGGCCGGCGGGCGGCGGGCGGGGCGGCGGGCGGGCGGGCGGGCGGGGCGGCCCGGCCGGCGCTGACCGCGGCGCCCGCAGGCGTGTGGCTCACGGACCTGGTGCACGTGGCGGCGCACGAGATCGGCCACGCGCTGGGCCTGATGCACTCGCAGCACGGCCGCGCGCTCATGCACCTCAACGCCACGCTGCGCGGCTGGAAGGCGCTGTCGCAGGACGAGCTGTGGGGGCTGCACCGGCTCTACGGTGAGGCGGGCGGGGGCGCGCGGGGCGGGGGCGCGGCGAGGGGGGCGCGCGCTGAGCTGAGCCGGCGCCCCCGCAGGCTGCCTGGACCGGCTGTTCGTGTGCGCGTCCTGGGCCCGGAGGGGCTTCTGCCGCGGCCGCCAGCGGCTCATGAAGCGGCTCTGCCCCAGCAGCTGCGACTTCTGCTACGGTGAGGGCCGCAGCCCTGCGCCCCGGGGCCCCGCGGGCCGGGCCGGGCCGGCGACGCCTACGGGGCCGCTCCCCACCCCCCCCCCCGCCGAGCAGAGTTCCCCTTCCCCACCGCGGCCCCCACGCTGCCGCCTCCCAGGACCAAAACCAGGCTGGTCTCCGAGGGCAGGAACGTGACCTTCCGCTGCGGCCAGAAGATCCTGCACAAGGAAGGCAAAGTGCAGTGAGTGCCCGCCCCGCGCCCCCCCGCCCCCCGCCGCGCCCCCCCGCGCCCACCACCCAGCGCTACCCTCCCCGCAGCTGGTACAAGACCAGGAGCCCCTGGAGTTCTCGTACCCCGGCTACCTGGCGCTGGGCGAGGCGCACCTGAGCGTCGTCGCCAACGCGGTCAACGAGGGCACCTACACGTGCGTGGTGCGCCGGCGGCGCGCGTGCTGTCCACCTACTCCTGGCGCCTGCGCGTGCGCAGCTGAGCCCGGCCATAAAGCGCTTTCTGTCCGACGCCTCCGCCCTTTCTTGGGGGGTGGACGCGGCGCGGAGCCAGGACCCTCCGGGGCGCGGGGGCCCTGGACGGCGGGACGTGCCGGCGGGGCGGGCGCACGTGCGGGGCCGTCGGCCTGCGAAGCCCCAGGAGGAGGGGGGCCGCGCGTGCCCCGGAGCCGCAGACTGGAGGCGCCCATGGAGGGCCAGGCTTGGCAGAGTCGGGGTGCTGATGAGGGGCTCCCCTTCCAGCACGGGGCGCCTGCTCGGAATCAGCGCCAGCCGCGGGCGGCAGAGCTGTCCTCCGAGGCTTTGCGCAAGGAGCCCGCGGGGGGGGGGGCACACACCCCTGGGGCGGGGCCGCCCTCCGAGCTCCCGGGCCGCCCCCAGGCCCCGCGAGGCTGACGTCAGAGGCAACACAGCCTTTCGGCCCCAGACCAGGAAAACGTGTTTTTAATTCTACAAATTTACAAGCCAAGATAAAAAAACGAAAGCATGGAAAACCGAGCGCAACAGTCCGAGCCTTGGGCCGGGGCCCCGCGGTCCCGCCGGCTGGGCCGCGCCGAACCTCAGAACTTGAGGCTGAAGCCGGGCCCTGCGGCGGAGGCGCCCTGGTTGGTGGTGGTGAGGTGGAAGCCCGTCTCCTTGAGGTCGTCGTCGCCCTGGAGGCGGACGGCACGGTGGGGCTCAGCCGCTGCCCTGGGGAGCCCCTGCCCCGCCCCCGCCCCCCCCCCGCCCCGGGAGTCCCCCTCACCAGCTGGCTGTAGCCCAGGCCGCCCTCCGGGGGCCGGGGGCTCGTGCCGCGTTTCACCCTCTGCTGCTCGCTCTTGGCGGGCCACGTGGGGAACATGGACGGGTCGATGGGGAGGGGCGTCTCCCGGAAGTACTCGTGCTTGAGGCCGTCCTCCGCGTTCACCCTCCGCCCCGGGAAGTAGGTCAGGAACCTGCGGAAGAGGCTCTCGGTGGGCGATGGCGGGGGGCACGCGGGGGGCACGCAGGGGGGTGGGGGCGCGTACTTGCTCACGAGATCACCTACTTGTTCATGAGGTCGAAGCCCTGGTCCGAGAGCAGGGCCCCGAAGCGCTTGCGCAGGTTGTTGTAGGGGTACTCGGTGAAGGTCATCTTCTTGACCGCAGGGAGGTCGTTGTAGCCAGGCCAGATCTTCTCGCTGGGCGTCCCCAGGTCCTGGGAGACAGAACATGAGCAGCCCCAAGGGGAGGCCCAGCAAGCACCCCGCACCCCAGGAGCGCCAGGCCCACCTTAAAGACTTTGTTGATCTGGTCGATTTCCGACTTGCCGGGGAACAGGGGCTTCTGAGTCAGCAGCTCCCCAAAGATGCAGCCGACGGACCACATGTCCACAGCCGTGGAGTACTCCTGGGGGTGGGCACGGTCAGTGCGGAGCCTGCCTGGGGCCGCCTCCCGCACCCTGGCACTTACCTTGGCACCGAGGAGCAGCTCTGGGGCGCGGTACCACAGGGTCACCACCACTGGCGTGTAGGCCTTCAGAGGAGACCCGTACTCCCGGGCCAGCCCGAAGTCCCCCACCTGCAAGGACAGTGAGGCTGAGGCGGGGCCCAGCGCGGCCCCCACCCGGCACACACGCAGCCCACCTTGAGGATGCCAGCGTGGCTCAGCAGCAGGTTGGAGGTCTTCAGGTCGCGGTGCAGGATCCAGTTGTCGTGCAGGTGCTTCACGCCGCGCAGCAGCTGGATCATCAGAGTTTTGACCTCCCCTGGACACGAGGCCCCCGTCTGGCACCGGCACAGCTGTCTACCCCTCAGCCCACCCCTCAGCGCGCCCCCTCCCCCGGGGACACCTGTCCACACACGCCAGGGGTGACCTGGTCAGTGAGGAGAGCCGGTCCCTGCACCCCCCGGGGCCGTGGCCGGCGGGCGGCCGCACCCACCTGGCAGGAAAGGCTGCTTCATAGTCTCCATCAGGCTCTTGAGGTCGTGCTCCACGTAGTTCATCACGATGTAGATCTTGTCCATGTTGCTCCCCACCACGATCTCCTGCGACGGCAGCGGCTGTGGGCGCGGCGCCGGCCTTCGAGAGGCCAGTGCTCGCTCTGTGCGTCGGGGCGCCCCTTACCCTGACGGTGACGATGTTGGGGTGCTGGGCCTTGAGGATAGTGTTGATCTCCCTCAGCGACGTGATGGGAAAGCCCTCCTTCTCCTTCTCCATCTTCAGCCTCTTCAGAGCCACAATTTCATCTGGAAACAGTTCAAGGCAGGCCTGACGCCGAGCACTGAGCAGCGGCAGGCCCCGGCCACGCGGTGGGAGCCGCCGGGGGTCCCTCGGGCTCGCCTGCTGCGTGGCGCCAGAAGGGGCTGTTAGAGATGGGGTGCACCGCCAACCTACCCCCCACGCCCTACCCTGACGGCCCAGTGCTGGTGGTGGCCATGGCCGGACACCTGCTCGGCCTTTGCTTGGGCCACCGCCCAGCAGCCCCTCCCTCAAGGGCCGGCCCCGCACTCCGAGCCAGGCCACAGCAGAACCTCTTGGTACCCTGCCTCCGGCGGCCACGGCCCATCCCTCTGGCGCCTCCACTGCTCCCCTCTCCCCCTGGGGACCCGCCCCAACTCTACCCACCTGTTTTCTTGTCTTTGGCCCGGTACACCACCCCGTAAGTGCCTTCTTCGATCCTGTTCAGGCACTGGAACTCCTCCACACTCCGGCAGCCCTGGGGAGGCGTCAGCGGCGTGAGGGCTCAGGTGGGCCTGCACAGGCGCACACGCAGCCACCGCAGCGCTCTGGAGGGCCTGGGGGCTGCCCAGGTGTGTGGCCAAGAGCGACTTCCCCCACCCCCATTCACTTCAGTGAGGTCACCCCCTAGATTAAAAAATAAAGCCAGTGGGGACGGAGGTTTGCCCCAGCTCCTCCTGCACTAGGCCAAATAGCCCTGACCCACTGGCCGCAGCCCAGGGCCCTGGTTCCCAGCACACCCTGCAGGCCAGAGGAGAGACGGCCTCCCTGGGAGCAGGGTGGAGCCCAGCCCCACCCGGCAGAGGCGCCACGTTTGCCAGAGCAGCCTCTGACCCTGGACCCTCAGAGCAGGCGCTCGAGGCCACCCCCAGGAAGGTGTCACTTCCTGAGCTGCCCCTCTGGTGGCCTCTGCCCCCGGCAGGTAACAAGGCGAGAGAGGCAGGAGCCAACCTGGGCTCTGACTGCAAAGGCAGCCACTGCCAGGCTCATGGTGCCCTGCGAGCCTCTCGCCTGGGGCGTCGTCCTCCCTCAGTGCCACCCTGCTGGCGGGCAGCCGTGGCCACGGAGCCGGGAGGCCGGTGAGCCACAGGATGGCCTGCAAGCTGCCGAGCCGGGCGGGGCTACCTGCAGGGCGGGCAGGTACTTGGGCAGCTCCTGTTTGAGCTCGATGGGGGACAGCGCCGGGGAGTCGGGCACGAAGTCTCCTTCGGTCAGCGCGCTGCTCTGTGGGGTGCCCTCGCCCGCATCTTCCTCCCCTTCTTCGCTCTCCCCGGAATCTCGATCAAACCGCGATTCTGGAACTTCAAGGTGAACCCATTTATGGAACCAGGAAACAGGTCTCCCCATGTGGAGACGCCGCCACACGAGCCGCCCCCAGGGAGGACAGGAGGTCACGGCCCAGGAACCCCGAGGGTGGAGCCTGCTGCCCGTTGGCAGCCAGGCCTGCGCCGCCCCCACCCCAGGCAGTCCGGCCACCTCTCCCTCTGTGGCAGGGCCCTCAGCGTGCAGTGCACCAGCTGCCCAGCCACCAACGGAGCCCCAGGGAGTCAGTCCAGCCCGCAGACACGGGGCCTGGGGCGACAGTGGCTTCAGGGCACAACCACCCCGGAGACCCCCCACCTGCACAAGCCGCTAGGGCCCCGCCACGCAGCCGCAAGGCTCTCACCCACGAGGATGTGGTTCTCGCTCTCCCGATCCTCGTCCTCGCTCATCTCCTCCTCGCTCACTTCCTCTGCAAGAGCGCACACCCGCTCGGACGGCAGGGCCCACGCCGCCCAGGCGCCGGCCCGCCCTCTCGGGCTCGGAAACCCGGCCCTGGCCCGGCGCGCCCTGGCCGGCGGGTGCCGGGTTCCGTGGCCCGACAGCAGGCTCCACACCCGGGCAAGTCCACGCCGGACTGGACCCCCTTTCCCGCAGCTCCTGCAGGCGCCGCCCGCCCGCCTGCCCGGGCCTCACCCGCCGACTGCGCGGAGCCGTCCTCAGAGTTGCTGCCCGTCTCCTCCTCCTCCTCCTCCTCCTCCTCCTCCTCCTCCTCCTCCGAGTCTTCGCTGCTGCTCCCCTCCTCCTCCTCCTCCTCCTCCCCTTCCTCCTCCTCCTCCTCCTCCTCCTCCGAGCCGGACCCCGACTCCGCTGGGGGAGGACAAGAGCCAGAGTGAGCCGGGCAGCCACCGGGGCCCCGGGCAGCCACGGGCCGGCGGGTGGGTACCTGACGAGGACTCGGCGGAGCTGCTCTTGCGCTCGCTGTCGCTGACGTCCTGCAGGTCGGACAGCAGGTCTCGCTCCTCCACCTTCTCCTCTTTCGCTTCCGAGACAGACGGCAGGGGGGTTGGGGCAACGCCTCCACACAGCCGAGACCAGCCGGCCCCGTGCACGCAGCGCCTCGCGCGGTGTCCCAGACCCAGCAGCCCTTGACCCAGCACCGCCACCTCCGAGGCTAATGGCAAAATCCCCAGCAGGGACCCCCTGGGGCCGCCGGCAGGCGCCCTCCCCTCACCTGGCTTCCGGCTGTCCCCTAGCTCAAGCCGCTCGCGCGGCGGCCGCGGTGGGCTGCGCGTCCAGTGGCTTGCCTTCCCTTTGTCGCCGTAGTCCTCCCGCAGGGTACGGTGATGGGCCGACACTGGGACGCAGGAGAACGGGGCTGCATCGGCCGCAACCTCACCCATGGCCCCCACTGCCCAGGGGTGGATCGAACCCATGGAGACACCCGCACGCTCCCTGCACCGGCGCTGGGACAGGCCAGGAGCAGCTCTGACCCATGGCCCCTAGGGGGCCTTCCAAGCCCGTCTCCAGCGGCAGAAAGGGCACCGCGGG